TAACACTGCACTGAGAGAGAGGGGTTAATACAGTACAGACACACTGACTGGACACTACATATACCAGCTGTAGTGCTGTATCTTGATTGCCCAGGTGTGAACAGTGTATGCAGCCTGTCTCTGTGATACTAGTACAGTATAATCAGCCTCTAAAACACATGCAATGTCCACAGCACCTCACATTCTGCTCGGGATTAATCCCAGTCTTCTAGAGGAGCACCTGCAGCAGATCTTGCACCCCTCTGCCCACTCTGAATCCGGTCTCAGGTGTGTTCTTTCACAGCTGCTCATTTTAATGTGGCTGGGCGCCATGCCCCCTCCCCCCGCCACACAAGGGCGCCGAGGTCCAGCAGCACGGCCCAGCTGCAAAAGGAGAGCAGGACTCCTCCTGTCTCTTGAGCTCAGCTCCCAGTGGTTATCTAGGCATGTACACAGAGGTCACGTGCTCCGACTGCAGGAGCAGGTTCATCTGATGTCACCAAACCGAGGGGTTGATTAATTACTCAGTCTCGTACTCTTCCTCTCCGACAGCACAGGTGAGGAAGGGCGCCGGCTCTCCCTCCTCGACGGTGCAGGCGGGGAATGGTGCCAGCTCTCCCTCCTCTTCCTCTGTGATGACTCAGGCAAGGAAGAGCACCGGCTCTCCCTCCTCGTCCTCTCCGACGGCACAGGTGAGGAAGGGCGCCGGCTCTCCCTCCTCTTCCTCTCCGCCAGCGCAGGTGGGGAAGGGTGCCAGCTCTCCCTCCTCTTCCTCTCCAAAGGCGCAGACTGGGAAGGAATGCTCTGAACTGAGCTGTCCAGCGGACAACAGCAGGACATCATTATTTATGATTCAGAAATGTCCCGAGAGGAGAGCTGCATCAATGAGCGCTGGCTCTGGCCGTGAACTGTGGAGCCTCCATCACACACCTGAAGAAGCTCCACAGCCGAAACACTGAGATCCTTCCTTGTGCTCGTCCCGAGGAATTAACCCCTTACTGCCCCTGTCGTTCACAAACACCCACAGGGACTGCAGCCGATTCAGGAAAGTTCACAAACAAAGCGCATGCCGTTGATCGCTGTATTTTAAACACTGAAGCCAACTCGTCGACCCCTCGCCTCTCTCCTCTCGCGCAGGCGCGCCAGCCTGACAGCTCCCCGGGCGTTTCCTCCCCAATCAGCAGGGAATTCAGGGGGCCCTGCGTACCGACACGCCCCCCCAGAGCAGGCCTTGTGAAGACACAGGCCCAGTGTGCACAGTAAGTCCGAGTCTGGCTCATGCAGGGCTTGAGAGGAGGAGTCAGAAGAACAAGACAAACGAGAGCAGGACACCCGGCCCAACCAGCTCGTTTGGTCGTTAGTAGTTAATTGATCCAACGATCACTCAGCTGTTCCCTTGAGAGAAGCCGGGGGATCGGCTTCAACAACACAGCTGGGGAGCCTGTTCCACACTCCCACTACCCTTTGTGTAAAGAACTGCCTCCTGCTCTCAGCTTTAAATGCTCCTGTCCGGAGTCCAAAAACAGCTTCTGCCCTGAAAAATATCAAACCTACTGGGACTCGTGTCTCCTGGCCTGTAAGCAGCAATGTCACTGAACCAGAAAACAACTACAAAGAGCCCCGTCAGACCACGGCCCCGACACAAATAACCACTGCGCAGCAAGAAAGGACAGATCCCAATTAAATAACATGAGTTTTAAATACAAAGGGCTTCGCCAACAGAATGGTTTACACACGAATCTTCATTATGTTGAATTTTCAGTCTATTACATAAAGAGAGTGTACAGTACATGTTTTCACATGTTAGCTATGTCACAAAAGTCCCAATACAATGCTGCTGAAGTAAAATTCTGCTTAGGAGTAAGGCTGTGGCATGCCATAGCTGGGTCTATAGCAGCCAGGCCGAGCAGTAGGAGACTGGTGAGGCGCTACATTCGGATTAGGTGGGTAAGAGTACCCAGGAGAGGGGTAAGGACAGGGGTAACTGGGGTTAAACTGACCAAACTGAGGTGGGGGAACTGGGAAACCTTGTTGAACGGGGTAAGGGCAGGCCGAAGGCCCAAAACCAGGGCCTGGGCCTGGATGGGGAGGGAAGCCTGGGCGTGTGTTGAATCCGGGGCCCACAGAAGGTGGTCCTTGGCAGGCCTGGGCAGGGAATGGAACGGCGGGCAAGGGGCCTTGGGCAGTGGGGCCTTGGGCTTGAGATTTTTGTGGGGAGGAGGGGTACGGGAGCGCGGGAGATGGGAAGGGGCCAGAGCTGGGTGCTGGCGGAGGGGGGCCTGGCTGAGAGCTGGGGAACGAGACTTCTGTCGCTGGCTGAAAGTCTTCCTGCTTCTGTTGCAGCTGTGGGGATTCTTGCGGTTTCCAGGAAAACGGATCACAGGCGCGTGATTGTGATGTCATCTCCGCTGGACGCGTCGCGCCACCCCCTCCTTCTCTTTTCTGGCGCAGGATGTCCTGCAGTTTCTCTATCCGCACTCTTCTGCTGTGAGCCAGGCAGCGCTTAGAGTGGAACTGGTCAAGGAAAGAGTCCAGAGCCAGCTGGCCCTCAAGAAACTGATCTGCCAGAGCCTGAGAGAGAGAGAGAGGTTAATACAGTACAGACACACTGACTGGACACT